CCCACACCGGCTGGGGGGGGGGGGATTTCTCGCTTTCTGTCTCTCTGTCTGTCTGTCTGGCTAGCACACACACCCTATAGCAAAAACCTCTTTTAAAAAATGAGAAGTTAATCTTTTCCCTTGGAGAAGAGGTATTTTCTTGCTTTGCCATATTTCTTGTGCAGTGATTTGTAGTCATCTGATGGATGGTGCATTTTTTCCTAATTCCTGAAGTTCAATCTGAGTGATCAGAGGTGTGCAGGAGGAGATGATCTGCACTCTCTCTTCCACTCAATTTTCATTATTTGTGCATCAGATTCAGTGGGAATAGAGAAATATTCTGACACTACTCATAGTCAAATGTTTGGATCCTGTTCACTTGGACCTGTCTAGACACCTAGTGCGTAGAGGCTCATCTCACTGCCTGAACCCAAGTTTGGTAATCTTTGTGGTTGCCCCAAACAGCTGGCCAATAGGAACTGGATACACAAAGGGACTAGGGACCGAGAGAGAGAGAGATTTTTTTTGCTGTAGGGCACATGCTCTCGCCAGAGAGACTAAGACAGAGAGACTGAAAGCAAGAAATCACCCCCCAGGAGGGAATGGCCACACCGCAATCCTTTCTCTTCCGTTCTGTTTTTAAGATCTTGGGCATGAGTTGAGATTTTGAGCACCCGGCATGAGTTTTAAGCCACGAGGTCTGGGACTCAAACCACAGTCAATTACATGGGAATCCAGCAACGTAATCACTACGCCATTTGCTGGTCTCTGCACTTAGTCTTAATGCTGGTCTCTGCACTTAGTCTTAACCGTATGTAAGAGTTACTGTGACTTCAAAGAAGCTATTGATTCCCAAGTAGTGGGTTTCGACTGAGTTGATTGGTTTCTTTTGTTTGTTTGTTTTTAACAAATGGCTGGTATTTCAATTATAATGCAAGAGTTATAGTAACAAACATTTGATTTTGTAAGACATTATATCCACTCCGGTGAATAAGTTCAATAAAGACCATATCATAGTTACCCCTAAGAAAAAAGCTTCTAGAAAATTAAAAAAAAAAGAATATCTTCACCACCTCAGAATAGAAAAAGATTTCTCGGGACACAAAAAGCAGTGACTACAATTTTTAAAAATTAATAAATTGGATCTCATAAAAATTTTAAGCTGCATCAATAAGAAAATTAATAGATCAATGACTAGGAGAAACTATTCACAAAATATAGCAAACTATAGGGACTTTATTTCAGAATTCCTGTAATTCAATAATTAAAAAGGACAATTTAAAATTCAGCAAAAGATTGAGACCAGCAGATGACGTAATGGTTACATCGTCACTGGACTCTCACATGGACAGCTGTCATTTGAGTCCTGTACCCAGCAACCTAAAACTCACACTAGGTATGTTTGCATGTGTGTGTGCCCAAAAAATCCTGAAGACTCTGGAGGAGAAGGGATTGCGGTGTGACCATCTCCTCTGAGGGGTGATATCTCTCTTTCTGTCTCTCTGTCTCTCTCTTGTCTCTCTGGTGAACACACACTCTTGATAGCAAAAATCTCTCTTGGGGCCAGCAGGTGGCATGGTGGTCAAGGGCGCTGAACTCCCACATGGCCAACCACAGTTAGAGACCCAGATATGGCGGTTGGCTCTCTCACTTTCTCGTGTCTTGCTCTCACTCTTGCTCTCTCTTCTTCTGTTCCTTTCTGGTCAAATTAAAATAAATAAATAAATAAAGTTAAATAAAAACAATTCTTTTAAAATTAAAAATAAATCTCCCTTAAAATAAATTGGGCAATGGGACCAGCAGTTAGCATAATGGCTATGTCGCTGGACTCCCATGTAGTCGACCACAGTTCGAGTCCCAGACCTGGTGGCTTAAACTCACGCCGGGCGCTTGTGCGTGCGTGCCCAAGATCCCGAGAGGAGAATGGAGGAGAAGGGATTGCGGCGTGACCATCCCCCCTGGGGGGTGATTTCTTGCTTTCTATCTCTCTGTCTCTCTCTGTCTTTCTGGCAAGCGCACACACTGATTTTGTAAGTATTTGCTTCAATATCTATCATCAAGAAGTAGCACAGGTAGCCTCCCTTGAATGGCCTCTGGCTGAGGGAAGTTTGCAGATACCTCCAAGACTGGGAGCTCCAAGGCTACGTGGGATCTGAGGTCATGAAATGCACACGCTCACTGCAAGCCTGATGTTGTGCTGAGTGCCCAGTCCCAGGGACCAAGACAACCCTGTCCCCTTGAACTTTGATTCCAGTTCCTGGCTGTGAGGATCCAGACAGCAGCCCAGCCCCCAGAAGGAGTTTTTCCTGCAGACCTCAGGGAGCCTTCAGTCCGGGAAGATGGATGGTCGGGAGCCGTGGAAGACTGCGTGAGAGATAAGGGATGTGCAGCCCGGCCCTAATCAGATTGCAGGTTTCCATGGGGTGGGTCATTGCTGCTTACAGATGGGCCCAGCAGCAGAATTGAGTTATCAACTGAGCAGATTCCTGAAGACGGACCATCCTGTCCTCCACAACGTGATTAAAGACTGTATGCAGCTCAGGAAGACCTCCGCAGCTGCGGGCTTGAAGGAAGGTTTTTGTCCTGCTAAAGCATGAGAAAGAGAGACGAGCAAGCACTATCTTAGGCCTCGCCACATCCTCATCAGCAGCGCAAGTTTGAGAAGTCAGATGTGTGTGTGTGTGTGTGTGTGCATGCATGTCTGTGCATGTGTGTGTTTGTGTGCGTGTGTGTGTGACTGTGTGTGTGTATGTCTCTGTCTGGCTGTGTGTGTCTGTGTCTGTGTTTCTGTGTGTGTCTATGAGTGTGTGTGTCTATGTGTCTGTGTGCATCTGTGTGTCTGTGTGTGAGCTTGCACGTGTGCATGCGTGCATGCATGATCGTATGAGGACGGGTGAGTGAGAGTTGACCTATGCTGCCCACCACGTGTGTGAAGTGTGCTCCTTTTAGCTGAGTACGTGGGAAGGAGCGCAGTCCCCACTCCGCGTTCGGGGTGTCAGTTAACAAGCTTCAGAAGAGTGTCAACAAGACACAAGGCCCTGGGTTCAGC